CAGAGAAAAATGTCAGAAAACCCTGAAAATAACGTTATTCACAATACCGATCTTTTCGATTATTAATAAAACACTGTAAATTTCACACATCGCTTTTTAAGAGATACTCAATCTGGACCCAAAGGCTTAAAGCTCAAATAAAAGTGATTAAGTTACTATCAGGGCATTTTCATTTCGGATTCAATTAAATAATGGCATACTGTAGCTACACAGCGTTAGTTTTAATATAATTTCCACGGGAAATTATCTGCCACTTCCGCTCCTGTTTATTATTTACATTTCTCTGTTCTATGCACTTTACTCAATACGGCGCAGGCGCATTTCTGAAAGTCTCTCTCTCGTACTCTCTCCATGCTGCCAGCGACCTTTCTTGCATATTAAATTAAATTAGCTGTAGACGATGAGACTGTGATGTTAACGGTGTTTTAAATAGCCCAGCTTATGGAATGCAATAAATTTTGATAAAAGCGGATTTTAAAAATAAAGGGAGTAAGCAAAAAAAAAAAACAGCTTAAAAACCCACCCTACAGCCATTGAGGTGCGCTTTTGAAATAAGAAAGAGTATCTAAACCTAGTTCAAGTGCAAATGAACTGAAATGAGTGTCATTAACGGTATTTAATTAATTAGTTCTGCACTGAATATTGCAGAGGGATGCATGCTTACCCCCGATAAGGGCGGTTTGGGTGTGTACGGAATAAATTTAATGGAATTAACGTTTTGCTGATTGGTAATGGGCAAAAGGGGCAAAAGGCCTAACGTTTTCATGGCATGCAAGTGTGTTTTCTGGTTCAAGGTTTCTTTTTTTTGTGATGACTGTGCAATGTTGTAACCTTTGAAATTTCGAAATTTAATTTGAATGGAAAAACCGCTACTTTTTATAAAAATTTAGAGATTAGTTGCCTGTTTCGCACGCCAAGGATCGGCAATTTCTTACTGTACTGGGAAGGACGGCGTACTGAGCTCAGTTGGGACCTACAGAATGATTGGCAGTGCTTAGCAGTCCTCTTAAATATAAACAAAAACGCCTTCAGCGATTCTGAATCGAGTTGTTAAAAAGCTACATAAATGAAGGGCGATTTAGTCAGAGTTTCCATTCTATTAGTCAATTCGTCCTGGGTGGTATGTATATTTAAACAAAGATATCATACTATGTAGCCTACGTTCAGCTAACGGTAGACACAGGATATGTTCGGTTTCAATGGGTCGAGCTAAGGTAAGAGGTATTAAATAGTTCAGTAGGTTTATAGGTATACACCGAGACCTAGTAGTCTCTTATGCCCTTTACTTTTCACAACACTTCTTCTAAATCGAGATCCCTCAAAAATATCAACAGCGCTTTCGGGGATAGGGAGTGAATGTGCTCACGTCTACTTCAGGCTGCACTCGATGAGGAAGAGGTGGTTGATGGCAAGCGGGGAATCTTCCCATGCGGAACATACGTTAGTTATATCAATGTCGGGTCCGGAGAGGTAGGGTTTTAATCTGATATAGTATCCAATATGTGCCAGAGTAACGCAAGTCTGTCGAAGCAGCATAAGTTCTTCTTCTTCCAAGGGGGTCTGATAACGTTTCACGGCCCAAAGTTGGGGAAAGTGGTGATGGTCTCTTTATGAATGTTGTTGTTCACTTGTCGGTACAGCGTCGTAGGACTGATTCTTGTCATTAAATTTTTTAAATTACCTAGAAGGAGGTTTCTCCTCTAACAAGTACCGCCCCAGGTGCTCGCCTTATTATCAGCCGACAAGGAACGTTCTGCTCAGCATAATGTTGTGTTCCCTTACTGGGAGTATCAAAATCAATATAGATAGCAAGGCGACCTGGAGCACCTCTATCGTGGAGGGACACGTCCACTACAGTGGTACCCTGAGGGTATTAGAGCAGGCGTATACGGCCCTAGACTGAAGCTTCCAAAGCATATCCCAAGCCGAAGTTTATGCTATCAGTCTATGCGCAGAAATTATCGAAGGGAGAGTATACTTATACTAACAGATAGTCAGGCGTAACTTATGGCTTTCTCATCTTTCGAGACTCTTCGTCCTTGGAGTTCGTTGAGTACTATCAGGCTTATATGGGTATCAGGGCACATGTATGTCGAAATGAAGAAACTGATCAGCTGCATTGCCGAAGCTACAGGCTACTTATAAACCTCCCCAAGGAGAGTATAAGAATTATAACATGCATTTTGACGGGTCATTGCAGGCTTAGAGGTACTTTTTTAATCTGGGGAAATGGGTGTAGATAGGGTGGGCAGGGGGGTGCTCGAGGCACCCTACTAAGTTTCAAATACATATAAAAAATAGTACCCTGATATGCCAGCTTAATAGGGTACTTCAGGTTCAACGAGGCCCCATCACCATATGAAATCTTCACTCTGTCATCGCGTTTCTTCGGGTTGTGCAGAAACTTTACGGTAGACCTTGAACTTACGGTCGTAGGTTTAAATGTGATTTTCCCAATGCCAAATTTGGGTTGGTTATGAGGGATACCTGGCATCGACCTAGCCAAAAGCTTGCTCCGTCGCCGGTAGAGCCGATTCAGCAGAAAAGTTGATATTCTTTAAAGTGGATGTCGGTTTGTATGGAAACGTCGAAAAAAACTGCAGTATCTTCCGAAAAAACATTCTCAATCACCTTTGTTGAACTTGATGCTGGTTCGCTGATTCGCAGTCGCAAAACCGAAAGGTTTATCAATCGATATGGTTATGAGTAGGTGATCTGATGCTGCGGATAGGTCGCCGATAGCTATTTTTATGTCAGGAGAGCTGCTGTAGCTATCCACAATCTTGATGAGGGTGTCGTCGTTCATGGCGCAGAATGTCTTATCGACAATCTCAATACCAGTACAGTTCCCCTAGTCCATTTAACAGGCTTAAGTACCGAATAGCTGTATCCTGACATTCCTGGGGGTATCTCTGAAATGATACTGCAGAGTACAATGTAGAATGAACTCTAGGCGTCCTTACGGAGCACTTAAAAGCATCTACATTGGTTCTGTTGAGGTTCCCAATGTGCGTTGCTGCCTGGTGGTTTTTGGCTGCCTCGATGAAGTTGACGAGTGCGGCTGCAGGGCTTTGTAGCAAAGGCTAGCTAGCCAATTCTCCACTCACGACTGGCGCGCAGACCAGAATATAGTGGAAAGTAACACCAGTCAAGCCACGAGCACCACCTGACTGATTTCACTTTCAGATATATTCAGTTCTGGAACGAAACAGGAACCTCAAATGGGAGTTGAAGCAAGGAGAAGTTTGGGAAGAAGGAAGGGAGATAAATGAGGGGAATCCCCGTCGAGCTCAGGAGTTGTTGTTGTTTTAGCGGCTATTCAGCCCAGCCTAGATCGGCTTGTCCTCAATAGTTGTCGTGGAACTTAACTAACAAGAGACCCAGGAAGTGTGCAAATCCGGCTGGGTTAGTCAATGGGGGCAGGAGTGTTAATTGAGTGGGGCTAAGGGGGCACGCGCAGAGATTTCGCGAATCGTGGGAGACTCTCCGCATGCCGGGCACTAGTTGGAAACATCTCCATTTATTCTGTTTAGGTAAGAACTTAGCCTGCTGCAATTGGGCTATGGTGGTGCGAGTCTCCCCCGACAAGGGCTTTGCCATATGTCTTGAGCAACAAAGTCCTATATACCTTGTGATCCACTCTATAGGTGGTCTAAGGCTCGAATAGGGTTTTAGGGTGCTGCAGGGACGCCGATTGCTAAGGTTCACAGTTCTTAACAGGTTTAGAGCGCCGAGGCTAAGGCCCTTGGTTGGGAAAAACCTACTTGTTCCGTTGCGTGAAACTGGATATATCCTCATCTTTGGAGTTGACGTTCAATCTGGAAATGCTGTTATAAGCCTTGATGAGGGGCATTATGTCGGTCCCACGACAGTCGGGTCTACGTAACCGGAAGTACCCAGATTTATGTTTGGCCAGGGACTGTCACTCCAGCATCATTCCCCGAAACACTTTGGTATCACAGGCTGGAGTTTATAGTCTGCCATTACGCAGGGATTGCTGCGCAAATTATACATTGCAGATGCTTATGAATCGCCAAGTATTAAGGTTTAAACAAGATAAGAGGATCCATTGATCTCATCTGGTCCCGACCTCGCCTGATGTATCTAATAGGTTTTTGCCAATCCTTAGTTGAAATGAAGACCGTATTTCCCAGAATGTTGCCCAAATCGCGTTCGTGCAGACCAAAAAATTATCCATCACTCAAAAACTGAGAGCGCAAAGTGACAGTTCTCCTGAAAAAAGTTGCAAATTCTTGCTGGAAAACTTTTAGCCAGCAGGAATTTGCAATCACGAAAAACATATGATTGTGGCACATGGTTGCATTTTTCTACGATAATTTGAATAAATAAGTTCGTTATATTTAAATTTTATAAGCACGAGCGATTTTTTTATGAAAAAAGAAAGTAAATAAATACTTGTTGATGTTATTAATTTAGTTAATTCCAATTATTTGAACTTAACTCGGCTGAAAAAATTTTATTCGCAATCAGAATGCAATTGAAACCAGCTAGTACGATAAATAAATTGAAATGTATGTTAAAGAAAGTCAGAACAACAAGAAATATACATGTATATCCTGTTTTTGTCCATCTCAAAGAATTTTAAAAATTCCATAAAAAATTATTATATTTGAAATGCAACCGTGGACACCAGTCAGCTGGCAGGGAAACTTGCAAATTCCTGCACATTTGCGTTCGTGCAAAAATTTGCAAGTTTCTCAACATGAGAGAGAATTTGAGAGAACTTTTTCTTTTTCTCTGATATTTTGAGTGATGGGTAATTCTTGCTGGATTTTCGGGCGAACAAACCTAATAAATTGTTTCTGTCATTTAAATCGTTCAAGCAATGATATAATTAATTTTTCTAATTTTAAATTTTAAATACTCCAATCATCTCTAATTTCTCCATTGCAATTTTTCCCCGAATAACCACTTTCACGAATCACCCGAATAAAAACTTTCTGCGAATATGGCAGCAATTTCAAACAGCTGATAATTTGACAACTAAACATATGGTGCATTTCACAAATTTCAAAAATGCCAACAACGTGAATTTTGGCAGATTTTTTCGTTTCAATTGGATGGTTTTCCTTGTATTGCACAATAAAATACATTGGAATTGTGTGTATGGTGCATTTGTTAAATAATCTGCAAAGATCAACTGCCGGTAAACATTCATCGCTCGGTAAATAAAAAATATCGTTTGGAAGATTTCCAAACATGAAGTGCTACTACGAAGAATTGGGGGTGTCGCGAGACGCCAACGATGCTGATATCAAGACTGCATACCGCAAATTAGCTTTGCGTTGGCATCCTGACAAAAATCCCGACTCGCTCGATGAGGCAAAGGAACGCTTTCAACTTATACAACAAGCGTATGAAGTGCTCTCTGATCCACAAGAAAGGGCATGGTATGACAATCATCGTGATCAAATATTACGCGGTAAAAACTCCGAATATACCGAGAATTGTCTGGATGTGTTTGAATATTTCACTTCATCATGCTTTCGAGGATATGGAGATGATGAAAAAGGATTCTATTCAGTATACAGGCAGGTGTTCGAAAAGATCGCCGCCGAGGATGCCGAATTCATCGACGATGAGGATGAAGTTGAGCAGATACCGACATTTGGTGATTCAAAGAGTAGTTATGAAGATGTTGTTGCACCTTTCTACGCTTATTGGCAAGCGTATTGTACTAAGAAAACATACACATGGCTGTGCCCGTACAACGTAAAAGAGATAAGGGATCGGCGTGTGTTGCGCGAGGTTGAGAAGGAAATGAAGAAAATTATGCAGAAGGCGCGTAAAGAACGCAATGAAGAGGTAAACTATTTCTAATATATTGAATTACTATACGTTACATTATAAAAACTAAATTTCAGGTTCGAAATTTAGTATCCTTTATACGCAAACGAGATAAGCGAGTTCAAGCGTATAGAAAAGTGCTGGAGGAGCGTGCAGAACTTAACCGCAAGAAGCAAGAGCAGAATAGATTAGAGCAAATACGTAAACGGCAACGTGAGCTTGAAGAAATGCGCGCAAACCATAAACAACATAACCAAAATAATGATGAATATGAAACGCTGCTTAAGCAACTTGCACAAGACTATAGTGACAGTAGTGCGGAAGAAGATAGCGAAACAGATGATGATGAAGACGAGGGAGATGAAAACGAAGTATTAGAATCTGGAGAGGAGGACTTCTATGTAGATGATCTTTACTGTGTGGCCTGCAACAAGGCATTCACGAACGAGCGCGCTTATGCCAATCATGAAAGCAGCAAAAAACACCGCGAAGCCTTGGAACGCATGATACTAGAAATGCAGGCAGAAGAGGAAGCGCTTCAACCAAATAATGACGCCGAGGAGGAGGTGGAGAGTGAAGAATTGGTTGATAATGGAGCAGAAGAAGTAGAAAAGGAAGTTCAAAGGCAAACGGAAGAATTCGTTGAGGCGGCTATTGCAAGTGTAACGCTTGAAGCAAAGGAGGAGGAAGAACCTGCCAGTAGGAAAGCGAAGAAGAATAAAAAAGCACGAAAAAATGTTAAACTCAATAAATCACAAAAAACCATCGAAGATGATGAACAGGAAGAAACCGTTTCTGCAGATTTCCTAGCGCAAGCAAAAATAGCTGACAGCGATGAAGAAGATTGGAATAGTAGTGGTAAGAAGTCAGCACGTAAAAACAAAAACAAGAAGCAGGTGAAAAAGGCTTCTATGGAAGATGAAAAGGCAAACTTGTCAGAACAAAATGCTAAAGTAACAGAGAAACACGAAGACAAAGTGACAATTCTTCAAAAGGAAATTGATGAAGTTAGTGAAACAGTTGCAGCAGATGTTGTTGTTAAGAAAACCCAACCCAAGGCAAAGTCAAAAGACGTTGAGGAGTCTACAGCAACGACGAATGTGTGCGTGACTTGCAAGGCTACTTTTCCTTCTAAAAATAAACTTTTCAATCATTTGAAGATCACCAATCATGGCGTGTACATACCAAAAGCGAAAACGGAAGTGAATGCAGCAAGTGCGGAGGGTAAGAGTAAGAAGGGTAAAGGTAAAAAGAAATAAATGATAGTGGGAATATGTAGTGTCTCCTATTAAACGAAAAATGCGAATTTTCTACTTTTTGAAAAGGCTTGAACTGTGAAAATTTTAGTAATTTATATTATGATTTTGAATCTATGCTATTTCCCTAGCTTTACTAAAAATGTAACAGTACAATGTCTTAGGAATCATTTTCTAGCATGCTTTATGGCGTTCTTAGTTTTGGTATATTTGAATGAAGCCTAAAATATGGGAGTTGAAAATTTTAAAACACATGCATAGCCATGTAATTCAAAATTTTAGGTTTTTAAAGAGGTAAAGCTGATGCAGTAAATTTAGTACTACACTTTTATTTAATTTGGGTTGTGTTTTTGTAAGATCATAAAAACTCACCAAAAAGTCTTAGTTATCTCTTCCAATATTATAAATAGATATGTATATATTTGATATGTGAATTAGATAAGGAAAAACTTTTCAACTACTAAAAAGCGTTTTTAAAAATGATAATGAATACTTTACAAAAAAGCCATTATTAACTTTATTTATTTCTAGCTTATTGACGTCTGCTTTTTTAAAGCACAATTTAAATAAAATGTGAATGTTTTACTGCCCCAAGTGCCACTCTTAAAAATTATTTCTTACCGACTCGATGCATAGCTGTAGACAACTAGATTTTCGAATTGATCCGCAATTCATATAATTTGTTGTCTATTATATTTGCTTTAAAAAAATTATTCTGCAGTACTTACATACATATGTATGCGCTTATGTTAATGCATCTCATAAAACGTATGTAAGATATATGAAATGCAGATATATGAAGTGCTATTCAGCCCAAAACTAATTAAACAATAAATTTATCACACAATTACGAATATTTTCATAAATTTCTTTAATTTGGGATATTATCTTATATCTACATGCATACGTACATTTTTAAGCTTTATGAAGCCCCGTTTCAAGAATTTGTATGCCTCACTGGAGACAGGTCTAACAAAATGAGTTTTTATATACTGCTTGTAATATTTATATTAATAGGTATACATAAGTACATTCTTATAAATGCAAATACTATGATACTTGAGTATGTGTACACATAGTACGTTAGCTTACAAAACTTAAGCTCAGAAATTTCTCATTACTACTTATTTATTAGAAGATCTTAACACGATTAAGAAAATAAAAGCATAAAATATATTTACAAAACAGTTAACTTATGTATATGATACTCGTAAATTCGAAGCACAACAATCAATGCGACTGATAGGAAAAATTCCGCGAAGATCCCTAAAAAAAATTCGAAAATCATGGAATGCACACCAATCGATTGCCCTCCTCAACGCGGCGTTTTACACGCGTACGCATATTAGACGATTCTGCCTTCAGACTGATGCCAGCACAAATGAAACAAAGCACCGCTGCCGCCACAGCACAGTAGAAGGAAATGCCTAAGAGGATTTCAAATGCTGATAATCGCATATAAAGTAAAAAATTTTAGTAAGCGCTTACCAATAGAGCAACCGGCTGGATAAAACGGTTCGGCATCCGCGCCACATAGCAGCTGCACTCTGGGCACACCCCAGGCTAGTGGATGTAAAAAAAGCGCCAACATAATGCTGATCGCTGCAAAAACCAAATAAATTATTTAGCATTAATTCACTATTACTGCAATCGTACGAATGACTCACCTGACACCACTTGCGCACAGCCAGTCATATTGTGTATACTCTTGCCAAATGCCGATTGTCGACAGCAAGTGATGAGCGTAAATGCTACCGTAATCGAGTGCACCGCAAAACCCAGTGACATGAAGAACATTGTGGCCTTCCACGCAACTGGATAGACATTGTTATCTGTCGCAAAACCATCCAAGTCGAAGGGGCCACAATGATAGCCATAGTTGCGCATCACTTTGCAGCGCGTATAGATGCCCACAGAGGGATAACGCACCGTTGGTACAAGCGACACTAACTGAGTATCATTTTGGACCTCTTGCTGTATGCCCGTTTGTAAGGAAGCGCTTGAGCCGACACTGACGAGCGTTGGATTTGGACCAATAAGCCATTTGGGTGTGACTATCGCCGAGGCGATCAACATGTCGGCTATGAGGCTCAACACGAACCAGACTAGACTGCCACCGGTGATGATGATGTAACACATATTTACTTAATTCCTTGCTCCTCTTGCCACAAAAATTTAATCGCTGCTCAGCTGGTATTAGTACTCGTACCTGAATCGCCGCCGCTTGCTACTGACCGTGCTCAATGCATTTGAACGCTGGAGTGGCATGAAAAGAAACTGAAGAAATGCGATAAGCAAAAATCACTTTTAGGTATTTTATAAAGAACTAAACATAAAAACAAGTATTGAACAGAATGTTTGTTTGCTTTGGGGATTCTGCTTTACCCGAGCGCCCGCTATTCCTGCATTAGCTGACCCAAATTTCAGTTCCACAAAATTTGTGAGTAAACAAATTGAATACAACAAAAACAAAAGTATAGTGGTTCTCATGAATGTTATTCAAACGCTTCTGCATAGGGCAAAAACAATTCAACACTACGAAGACCAGAACAAAAAAATCACTGCACATTATAGATCGCTGAAATGACATCATGGCGCTTCATATTGGGATCTTTGTGTGCTTACTTATGGCATTATACATAGGTACAAACCAATGATTTTATATTCAAAACTTGTGTGGCGAATGTACATACATATGTACATAAATATGTATGTACATTAGACTGCTTCGCGTGTTATTTCCTCCCTTAGTTTCAAAGCTGACTTCAAGAGGATTTAATTGCAATACAAATCACCACCCTAAAAAGAACTAAAATCGTGTTTTCTTCATACATTTTCTCTTTGGAAGCGGACTTCTGAGTTTAGTAGAATCCTTTTCCTCATCTAGTCTGTTTACTTAGGAGTGGATGAGGGTATGTCTCTCATTTATTTCTATACCGGGCTATCGGCCCCATGGCCCACTTAAATCGCACATACCTATGATTTAATTTGATAGACTTGCGGCTACACCCTACTAGGTTTACTTAGGCGCAACAACAATAAATCGCCATATACCGCCTTACAGCATATGTTTGGTAAGATCGAAAGGGCTATAGATTACGACGAAACTGTGGGCCAAATATAGTAAAACTGCGTTTTTAGTTTTTCTCTCTGACGTCAGGATTTTTTTTAAGGACTTTGTGGCTTCAAAGATATGATTACTTCCAAAGATGATTAAAAAAATTCACTCCCATGCACCAAATAAAAGACACCCAAAAAGGCCACCAAATAAAAGACAAAATTCTGTAGAATTGAAAAAAATTAAATTTTTTGCTTCACAAGGACGAATAGGTATTGAAAGTGTCCCTTTAATTAGTTTTATTTTTTTAAGCGAATGAAGTTAGAAGGACGAAATTTTATTATTAATTATTGTCGTTATTTCAAGGATATTCAATGATAAAATGTGAAAAGAACATTTTTAATACCTAATCGTCTTGATGCAGCAAAAAATTTAATCGGCCTTAATCCTACAGAATTTTCTCTTTAATTTGATAGTCTTACCGTTTTTTTTACATTGCACTGAATTTAAAAAAAAAATTGAAATAATTATATATATCATTTCCTTCAAAAAAAGTCCTGACGTCAAAGAGAAAAACTCAAAACGCAGTTTTACTATATTTGGTCCATGGGTTCCCGAATATATACAATTTTTTGTGTGTGAAATTTACTGTCGCACGGTGTTATAAGAATGGTGCGCTCGTTGCAAAAAAAAATTTAATACAAGAATTTAGTGATGTGCGTCTTGATCGCACACAAATGGAGGGACATAACCTCCGAACGGCAGATGGGATTTTTTTAATTTTCACGCCTGTGTAGAGGAACACATTGACCACATCTAAGGGGCTACTATTTACAACAAGACTCATTGCAGGGACAATGTGACCTTCAAAACACATCCACTCTCAGGGATATAGAACAAAAAGGAGAACTTCCCACATAACTACAAGGTATTTTTCCCTAACGGATCCAACTGGAACAAAATCCTTGGAGGATAGCTACATTTATAATTTTGAGGGCTACAAGGCTGACCATGGCAGAATTCTATGGCATAAAGCCCAGTACCGTGGACTCACAAGGTTAGGGGCCACATCATCGGGTACAAGAGGTCTTCAAGAGATCGGGTATCAGCGTCCCTTGTTCCGCTACTTTCAAACTAACTACAACTAACTCTTCATTTTTCCAGAACAAAACTTTTCCGCAAACTAATTTCTTATAATACAGAGATAGATAAAATCACTGATATGTGAGAAGAAGATGCAATGCGACCTGAAAGGTTTTTGTTTCTTTTTAGAGCGTCCCTAACCCAGTATGCCCAAGACACTCTCGCTTCCCTTATGAATTCTAAGCGGGCTATAGTAGTCGAATTCTTTTTGACTAGGGGTTTGGCTATTACAGATCAAAAAAAAATTAATCTTTGTCTAGCCAACACGGACAGTCACAAGGAATGTGCTCGGAAGTTTCCTCGTCCTCAAGGCAGACCTGGAATTCTCTCCGATAACTCTTATCTGGTGCATATGAAATTGTAATTGGTTGAGCTCGGTTAGGTACCCAAATTGTAGCCTGCTGTCAATTCTATTTGTAATATCCGATCTATTAAAAAGGTTGCCGAAGAACCTAAAAGGCGAAAATTCGAATTTTCAAAATAGTTTTCATACAAATCTTGGTAGTTTCGTCAAAGTTTGAATTTTGTTGTTAAAGGGGATGTCTCTTTTTATCATTAAGAAAGTTTCTTCTCATTTTCGTTGTTGGTGTTTCCGACAGGGTAGGAGTGTGATGTAATGTAACCGGTTTGTCTCCAAACCAAATTTGACAAGGGATGACGGAAAACCGTTCCACATTACATCAAGAAAGTTTCTATTCAATAATGTATTACAAAAGCTGATATATTTTCCTAATCTAACTAGAGCTCATACTTTGCTTGGAGATGACGACTATATTCCTTACAAGAATTAATATGGACAAAGGTTGTGGCAAAATTAATTATTCGAATTTCTTTTTTCAAATCCTTGAAGTCATTAAATTACTAATTGAACTTTGGAAAGCCGTGTTTATTTTCAATTTCCGCTTGCTTACATTTGTATCCAATTTCAATTTGTTCAATTACGTTCGATAGGCATGACTTGGCCTATTAATTTGCATTACATATTCAACTTAATATCTATGTACATACATATGTATGTATGTATGTATGTATCTTCCTTTTCTAAACTCCGCAGCTTGTCCATTTGTCATGCCCATAATTGGTGGGCACTCCCGTATTTTATTAAACTTTTTTTACTATCGCACTTGGCACATATTTCAGCGGCTAAAACTTATGAAGCTAATTTACAAAAACAACAAGACTTAATCCAGCTGCAACAACACGCGATTTACACATTTCGCGAAGACACACAAATGCAAGCATACATATGTATGTATATACCTAAATATATTAGGATGCCTCACGAAAAAAGTGGCTGCTGAAAAGCGACGGGAATCACGGCTCACAATAACTTATTTTGTCTCAATTCGGTGTCTGGACTAGGTAGCTCGGTCGGGGTTTATCAAAATACTCTTATATGTATGCGGCGTCGTAATAGGTGACGAATTATGGGTCCACACTACAGATCTCAAAATAAAACCACATTGTTTGGGGTTTTGAATAAGGGTAACCTGCTAGTTGTCCTTTAATGGCCGTTTACCTATATTCACAGGATAAGTTTTGGCGAATGTCCTCTTGTATTTACATATACAGATTTTTTTACGCGTTTATCGACATTAGGCTTGCAGCACAGTTTGGTGTCTAATACAACGCCCAGGCATTTTGCTTCAGAGGTTAGTGTGAGAGTAGTTCCATTGAGGGAAGGGAGTCTGAATTAGGTTTTTTGCATTTTCTTGGTAAAAAGCATCCCTTCTGTTTTGCTCGGATTCTCGCAAAGACCTTTTTTTTAATTCACGAGCGTGTTCCATATATTGAGTGGAAAAGACCTAAGGAAGGATGTACAACTTATTCGCTTCTTCTCGGGTTCGAAACTATATTGATTGCCTTGTAGACTATCTTTAAAAACAAAAAAAAAAACCTTTTGACTGGTTTTATCTCTTAGCTAAGCGCAAGGCTTAGAGGGCAGCCTCTAAGCAGAAAGTGTTTGGCCGAGCTTCTTCTGCAATTTGGGGTGAATTTACTGCGCAAAACTTTTCTTAATATGATATGTAGTGTTTTGTACACACAAAAATACTTCTTCAATGAGATATGTATATTAGGGTGCCCATCGAAATTTGATTTTTTTTTTTAATTTCAAGACCCTACCCCCTAATTTCCTTCAAAAATCATTTAGAGGTCGCGACTTGCCATTTTAGGCCGATTTCAAAAATTTGGTCGAGATCGGAGAAGTAGTTTTGAGATACACATATCAGATTTAAGTGTGCAGTGCCACCCCCATTTTCCTAAAAAAAAATTTAAAAGCCAATTTTTTGCTAAAGAGCGATTTTATATATCAATTTTGAGTAAATATTGATGAATTTTTTAGCCACATTGCTAAAAAAATCTGAAAGCCTGGTACATACACAACATAAATTCAAGGCCGTATTTATGAAAATTCGCCTAACTTCGGTAATTTGTATGCGATTGCAATAAATTAGATATCAGCTTATTTGAAAATAGATTTAATTTAATTAGTACTACATATTTTGAAATTGTGGAAATTAGTGATGGTCAAAACTTAAAAAATTAAACCGATGAAAACTCCCAACAATCCAAGTCTGACAATAAATTATTATGCATCATCTCACAACATATCGATGGCTGAGTGGAAGATCGACCTATCTCGGCAGCCAGTTCGAAAACGCCCTATCTCAGAAAATTTTCCAACAACGCTTTATCTCAGAAAACTTTTCAAGAACGCCCTACTTCAGAATTTGATTGGAAAACACCATACCTGAGAAAACACCCTACCGAACTAATAAAAAAGGGTAAAAAGTAAAAAATAACCACTCATGCTCATTTGCCCGTAGTTGCGTATGTAACGTATACACCCTGTAGCACCATATGCAGCCATCAAATATGTTTACTCGCACGCCTTAAGCATTTAAGATTTTTACACAGTGTCATTATGCAAATATATATTATTTTCTTATGTATATACAAATTTAAGAATGAATTTCGAGTGCACCAATAAAAATTGTAAAAATGGAATTTTAGTTTCTCAAATCATAGTCATCTTTTACTCAGTGTACTCAGATATTCTGCAAGCTGTAATTTTCTTTAATTTCGTGGTGTACTCTTCAAACTTCACAGATATGTTGTATTTGATGCCAACGTCAATTGCCTCTTAAGCCGGGACCACACGATTTGTACATTTGTACAGATTTGTTCATTTAACCAGTTACAGAGTGGGGTTTTCTTTATTGTGCTGAACTCATTCTCGATACAAATTTCTAGCCAATTCCACTCTGTGGTTGCCAAAATATACAAATTTACAAATCGTATGATCCCTGTTTTATATGAACATTCTCTTTGAAAACGTACCAAAGTTATTAAAAAACCGATTATGATTTTTATTAGTGACAATGAAAAAATTAGTCATTTCGGTTTTAAGGCAAAAATTGTTCAAATAATTGATTTATTTTTTATTGTACTTTTTCTGGAACTCCATTGATTGAAATAAATCCAATAAGACTGCTTAAGCTTTTTTGCCGAGCGAAGGGAGTGACCCTAAAAAAACAACTCGTGGGATTTACTCATATGTATATGGGATTAGGTCATATTTTTTCATGATCCATCCTAATGTACAGATTCATATACACTTACATACATTAATATGTATGTAGCTCCCCATTATAGTGGAAAACAAAGCGTCGGAAGCACAATGACCTGTAAATTATTTCAAATTAGTGAAAAGTGTTTATGGAAAAAGGGCACTGCGAGGGCGAGTACTCGTAGACCTGACGCCAAATAAATACAGCGGGTGGT